CAATGGCCTCAGGGCAGTTCTTACGATCGCAAAACTGATCCCCCAATTCCAGACCTACCTAGCCGATAATTAGGAGACATATATATATATATATATATATGTGTGTGTGTGTGTTTGTTTATATTTATACTAAAATTTTCACTCTCAATGAATACATACATATGTATGGTACCCCTCTAATGGCCTTGACGACCCACATGCCCACATTGCTGACGTACATATCATGAAGGCGTCGGGCACAGGAGGCAAATGTCAGTTTCCGCAATTGAACCGGATGAACAAAAGCTCAGGTGTGAGTGGATTGAAGCCGAAAGGGACCAAAGCGAGCAGCCAAACCTGGCATCAAATTATGTCAAACTCGGAAAACTGAAATCCAAAAACAACGCAAGCAATCTGATATTGTGTATCACATTCGGACAATCCAACAAACAAAAAACAACCTAAAGAGCCAAACAAAGCTTTGTTTGGTGTGGCTGATCTGGTGGTTGCTGCTCGGGTCGTTGTCGTTGTTTTGTGCTCCGCCGTTTCTGTACTTTGGTTGCTTCAATTAAGCTTAATTTGTTTTATGTTGCAGTGTGCATTTGTCAGTGTGTCTGTTCCGGGCTTGCGAGGCATTGCCACACTGGTAATCTGCACGTCGTCTTCCAGTCTCGCACCACTCACGAGAGAGTCATGTTGGCATTGACATGATGTTAAAGTTCAAGGTGCAGTAGCGAGGGATCCAAGTCCTACACCATGCCAGATGGCCTTCCTGGCACATCCGTGTTATGCCTAAGCACGTCTGTCGGACGGTCAAACTTCCGCGCCTGCAACATGTATGTCATGGTCTCTCAGCATTCTCTCTGCGGTCCTTATCGTCTGCAAAAGCATGAGCGGACCGTCCCACGAACGTGGCAACATCTGTGCAGGTCGGAAATGTGATGGACCTGGGCATCTGACTGCTAAGTTATCTGGCCTACACGATTCATTGGAATATGCTGAGCCGGCTGCGCGAAGCTGCACCCTCGCGCATGAGCAACAATGCCCTGGAAGGAAAGGCTTGCTGCAAACGAAACCCAGAATCCAAAATAGCGTGGTGGGGATAATCTCAATTATGGCATACAAATCTTGCAATTATGCGAGCCAGCGGCCCGTGGCACGGATGAAGCACGGCTCTTACATCCTTAAAGTCTTTAAGGTCTTAAGTTTCTACCCACGCCATGAACACTTGAAGCCACCAGGAACTGGATCATCCCGAGACCGGAAGTCGTTCGCACCTTTGTCGCTCCTTGCCTCAATGCACGCAGGCGAAAGGAGGGTTGGCACTTTCACTTTGACCTCAAAACCCTTTCCGGACGCAGCGGTTCGACACAGCCGGCACTCCAATTTTGATTGCACCACAGCTGATGATCGGCGCAAGCTAGGGAAGTTTGGATACACCATCGAAAGTACTTATTGAATCTTGCGATCGTTGATGCACCACATTCCCAGGATAAGACAGCATCGCGACATGCAGCCCAGGAACCCTCCAACGGTGTCATGTCTTTTCGGCTTAGACACCGCAGTCCCTTGGTTTGGGGCTCTGGCTTCGAGAAGAACCGCATCAGCTCTGCTTCTCCGACATCAACCTTTGACCACAAAACCCTTTCCGGACGCAGCGGTCGATGATCGGCGCCAGCTGGGGAAGTAACGGTTAGGCCGGACAGCACAACCTGCCCAACAGGCTCTCTGTCGCGCTTCGGCCACAGTCCAAAAGCAGAGCCTTGCTGGAGAAGGCGTGCAGATCCAAGTTCAGCGGTGCAAGTTGCTTTCCATCGCCTCGAAAAGAATTGGCAGGGGACCTGCTTCAACTTGGACGTCTCGGAACCGAGGATAACCGAGGAAAACACCGACGGGTCTCGGCAGATGGAGTCTGCAGCAGGCAAGCACAGACCCGGCAGGCCTGTCGGTCTGAGCCAGCCTGAGATATCTTTCTGGCACTTGCATCCGCATAGAGACCCGCAAACTCCGAGCGGACGACATAACGAGCTTTGCCTCAATGGACCAAGGCTGAAAACTCCTTCGTTGCGAATGTCCAATGCCTCTGGAAGATTGCCAATTTCTGACGCCTGGCGCAGTCCAGTTCTGCGAGACGACATGAAGATCACAACGTAACGAACCGGTTGGGTACGTGAAGTTGAACCTTGAAGCAACTTGCACGTTTGCTGAGATTCACATGGCTCTTGTCTAGGATCTCAAATCGAGCAAGATCAAAAAAGCAGGCCTTCGGCAAGCAGAAAGTGACTCGATCGCCCGGCTGAAAACGCATTTGGCCGCAGTTGGACTGCAGAAGCAGCACCTGTCCCGACACGGGAGTCTGATAAACTCCCCGTCAAACACAACTGTGCAAGTAACCGACAAAGACCTGCCTCGCCGGTGCCGCCGAAGTGGCGCGCGACTTCTGCGCACACAGCTGTCCCTGGCTTCCTGAGAGGCGCAAAGAGCTGAATGGGCGTTGCTGCGCTCAGTTCCACTGCTGCCCATACACCGTCTCACAGCCATCTCTGGTACGATATTCTTGGGTACTAGCCATGGGCTGTCCGGCGACTCGTTGATCCACCTGGCAGGCTGACTGTTGGTTCCGGTCGCTCTTTGCTCTTCGGGCAAGGCGACTGTGTTCGACTATGGCCCGTCGACATCTGGGCTCGTCACTCCGGAGCACGCACCACGGTTCCGCTGTACTTCTGCATGCGCCGCACCTGGTCCACATATTATTCACAGATTTGCACAAAATCGGGCATCTTTTGTTCACGTCTTTGCAGCGGCCATACGAAGGCTCAAAGCCGCCATCGGAGCAACTAAGATCACGCCACTCAGATTCAAGTATTGCTTGACGAGGGGCGACTGCATCCACTGAGAAAGCCAACTTCTCAGTTATATAATTACTTGGCACTATTGAGCCTTGTCGTAGTCAGACTGACCGGTATGCTTGTTCCATGGCAACAGAGCGGGATGCATAGGCTTAATAGGCTCTCATGCCAGTTCAATCTAAGCGTTGTCATAGAACGCCGGTGTTACAGTCGTCCTCGGTGGAGGAAGACGGGGGATGCAAATAATAGTCGCGAAAACTTCGGGTGCACGAAGGCCAGGTTCAGCCAAGTTCTAGGTTGCTGTGGGGGCACCCTTAGGAAACCATCACTGCTTTCCGACATGGGCCGACGTGGCCAAACCAAACAAACGGCAACCATCATCACCAAGTACACCTGCCCATAACCGAAAACAAAGCCCAGCTAAATTCGTGCCTTCACGGCCTGGGGAAAGCCTTCCACACTGAGCTTCACCATGAACTGGACCAGATCCTGTCTCGTCCGATGCATTCCACATGACCAAGGCTCCAAACAATCTCGGAGTAGAAACAAGAGCAGTTGCCACTAACGGTACAGGCTCGGCTCCCTTCCGGTCCTCCTCTGCAAGTCTTGGAAGAACAGCAGACTTCTCCTGCAGGACGTGACAAAGGGATTGCTGCGCCTGTGCACTTGGGCCAAAGCGGTACCCAACAAGGCTGTCATGCCTGCACATCTACAAACTGCAACTGCAACACTACTACAACTAATACTATAGCATCGAGGGCTGAGCTAACGGACTCCGCTCGTTGCAGGCGATACATCGATACGTCTTTGGAACCGCATGAAACGAAATGGGGAGTCAACTGTGGCATGAACATGTGCGAATGGCAGTGGTCACACTGTTAAAGTGTAAGCAATTCGTTTCCATCCCCGTCGTTTGGCAGGTAAGCTTGAAAGCTCCCAGCTTTGGCAAGCTTGTCGAAAGAGTGTGACGGCAGCACTTACTGGTCACTACTGATCACTACTGCAGACACTGCACCGCCTTTTTGAAACAAGCCAAAGTAGCACTCACAGCTCGGCGCTCGACGCACAGCCGGACAAACCACGAGCCCAAAACGCTCTGACCCTCACCACTCTGGATCGGCCACCGAAATGGCGAGGATGGAGCTCACTGAATGCGAAGCACGACCCCACAGGAATCGCAACGGGGTGAACTTAGTATTCAGCATGTTCCAATGCAGATGCAAGCGCCATGACATACCGCTTCTGTAACGACAACCATAACAGTCATAATTGTTCTGTGCATCAGAAGTATCAAAGGTCGCAGCCTCACAACCAGCGTCAGCACCAGCATCATTATCTATGAAGCGACTGCGTTCAGAAAATCGTCATGAGTCTTCCAAAACCAAATATCATCACAGCAGCATGATCTCCGACATAGTCATCGTCATCGTCATTCAGCGGCACCATCAAGATCATCCCCATCACCATCTAAATCTAAACCGTGGCAACAACCATCAGCAGCCATATCAGCGTCGTCATCGCCATCATCATCAACACCATCACTAACACCAACACCAACACCAACAACGACGACGACGACAACCACCACAACAACAACAACAACAAGAACAACAAGGAGGTTCAAACAAAAACTGCAGCCCCGTCCACCCATATATCTGCTTTGTGTCTGTACATTAGGTAGAGACAAAAACAGGAGCCCCGTCATGACCCCCCTCCCCCCAAACAACAACAACACAGTGGCTATGGTGCACAGCGTTTGAAGGGTTTGCAGTGGATTTCCAAGATTTCAAGGGATTTCCATAGACTTGCAGAGGATTTCCAAAGAATATCACTGGCATTTTGAAGGGATCTTGAAGGATTTTCGAAGGATTTCCAAGGGTTGCAATGGGATTATCAGGGCGGAGATTTTGGGGTTTAGGTTTGGGCTTCAGCTCTGGGGTGCAGCGCCGAAAGCCCCACGCTTTCCAAAGCATTGAGATCTCTCCTAATGCCCCTCCAAACACCACGGAAACCCTCTAAAACTCCCAACAAAACCCATCAAAATCATCAGAATCACATAAAACAGTCCTTCCAAATCATTCCCTCCACATCCTTATTCAAAATTCAAGACGAAACCCCCAAACCCCGGGACAACCCGTGAATCCCATAAAACCCTGCAGAACCCCAGGACAACATTACCAATACATTCTAAATCCCTTACAAAACCATGAAGCCCCTTCTACACTTCGCAGATTCCCATACCCCGGGTGGAAGTGGGTGGTTGTTGTAAAGAGGGGGTTGGTCAGTACAACATACGGGGCTCCAAATTATATTCTAAAAAGCAAATAGAGACAAACTCCTGATTTCAATGGGGCCTTTGCCTCTACCTGCTGCTAGAAACAAAAACTGGAGCCCCATCTGTTGTTTTAACCCCCCCCCCCCGTCTACAACGACCACCCAGCCTACACATGCCTACGCCGCATTTCTATCATGGCTCACATGCTGTGAGAACTTTGTAAACCATGGCTTGCATTCCACAAATCTCTACAGGCACCCTCTGCAGTCGCCGGTAGCATTCCCAAATGCTTCCAATTAACAAAAGTTACGGGCTGCTGTTTCTGTCTGTACCAACAACAGCAACAACTCCACCAACAACAACAGCAACAGCAACAGCAACAGCAACAGCAGCAGCAGCAGCAGCAGCAGCAGCAGCCACAGCCACAGCCACAGCCACAGCCACAGCCACAGCCACAGCCACAGCCACAGCCACAGCCA